TGGGACAGAAGCCATCAAGTGGACAGCAAACTGGCAAACGAGACTGTCACAGTCCAGGGAGACATGCCAGGTCCAGGCTGCCACTCAAGTAGGTGGAAGCCCTCCCTGAGTCTGCATCCCTGTTAAGAATCCAAAGGTAGGCCGCTCCTCTGACAAGTGTTAACACCCTGGAGCAGTTCACCCCTGGAGCCCAGGCCCCAACTCCTATGCTTACATACCAAGTACCTTGACATCAGAGGAAAATCATGAATGACCCCTGCACCTTCCTGCTGAGATTTCTTGTGACCTCGGATAACAGATGACCAGACACCATCCAAAGCCACCTAGAGAATAGCTCCCAAGGGGTGTCTTTCATAAACCAGCTCCTGTCTACTTACTACTAGGTGGGGAAAGGGAAAAGGCTTCCTAGGGCTGGAGAGCAACTGCCAGCAAGGTCTCCCAGCTATGCATAAATGAAGGGATATCAGTAGGTCACCTCTATGTTCAGGTGGCTAGATACACTTTCCTGAAGCCAACTTCCTACACCGATGAGCTTGGATGCACCAGGGCTGAGTGTGTGGAATCCCTTGTTGCTGAGTCCACTGAGAAACTTCAGTGTGGATGGAAGGAGCTATCACCCAGAGCCACACGAGGGGAGTCAGTCAGGTGAGTCCTTTGGAGTAGTGAGCTTCAGGACCCCTCCTCAGCCTATTGTCTCACCTAACTAAGGCACCCATGTGTCCCTTGCACCAGAAAGATTCATCTCCCTCACTGACTTCCTGCACTGAGGCAGGAGCTTGGAGTAGCACACAGATCTGACATACTCAGGATGGCTGTAGTATAGGGGCTTGGAAGAGAGGTGCTGACAGGTGAGGAGGGCCTGTTGAGGGTGCCTAGGCTTTTCCCAACAGGTCTGGATGCCCTCTAGACCCTCTGCGGGCACAGTCACAAGTGAGAAGGCCTTCCCTGGTAGAGGCGCACACAGAATTCCCCAAGGTACTCTCCATGCTAAAGGGGTTTCGGGAAAGCACCCCCCACCCACCCACACACAGTGCAGAACTGCACCAGGGGACAAAGACCTCTGACAGTGACAACCACTACCCTTGGGAATCCACCAAGTCTCAGTCCCAGCTCTCCCATTTCCACAGCACCTCCACGAAGGACTGCAGTTGGGGACCTTACCCAGCCCTCCCTTGTTCTTTCCCAGCCCAACAGGGACATTCTGCTCTGCCATGATGTGAGATCACACTTAGAACCTCCTCAGAAGCTGGGTGTGGTGGCTCACACCTGTCACCCCAGAACTAGGGAGGCTAAGGCAGGGGTACTGCAAGTCTGAAGTAAGCAGGGTAACATAGGGTGAATGATGACTGGAGCAGAAACACAGTCCAATCAGAGAAGACATCACAAGGCCTGCAGCTGGATCTAGTACTCAGGGTTTTCCATGATCTGCCACCCCTCCTCCTATACTTAGAGACGCCCAGGCCCAAGACAAGCACAGTTTTGTTTTTCTTTATTTGTCTACATTCAGCGGAATTCAAATGTACTGCCTGAATGATCCAGACATACAAAAAAAAAAAAAAAAAAAAACAAATAAAACAAAACAAAACACTCTTTCCCACTGGTTTTTAAAATAAAATTTTCACTTATAAAACTGAAACACTAAAGCATTAAAATAAAGAAAGCTCATTTAACTCACTTCACAAAAAGCATTAACAGATGACGTATCCCTTCTGCAACTATTTAAGGACCCCCGATGGAATGCACACCGGGCATAAACAGACAGAGGGATACTACACGGCAAGAACTCGAACACTACTCAGACAAGGTGTAATGGAACTAACAAACCACTGAAGACACGGAGTCCCAAACACAGCTAAATAGGGATCACGGCACGGGTCCCAGGGACCACACCTCACAGCGTGGCAACGTCGGCAACATGGACGGGTGGGCACTGCGCCAGTGGACATGGCAACTGGTGATGTGCAGACTCAATCTCCCGAGACGAGTTGGAGGCAGAGGTGCAGAAGGTGAGAGGGACAGCCTGGGCCTTTATCTGTACTGGTAGTTCATGCTGTGCTCTGTGTTCCGACTGTAGCCACCTTGTGAGGACTGGTAGGAGCTGGAAGGGCCGCTGTAGTTCTGGCTGGACCCAGGGGAGCTGTAGTTCGACTGTGATGAGTAGCCTCCTGCAAGATGGAGGTAGCTTAGAGGACAAAGGTCCGGGTAACAGTTACACACTACTGTACCCCAGGGTGGCAGTCCAGTGGGCTCCTGCTTTGTCATATAGGCCTATCAGTCACTGCTACCCCAAGAGGTGGAACACCTTTGCCTCAAGGGGCTGATGCCAAGTGCTGACTGACTGACCCGAGAAAGGAGCCCCACAGCTCAGTTCAGTGCCCTGACACAAGCGGCTCCTCAGTATAGATGCAACATTTAAGAGTTGTGCAACTTGAGGTCTCTGGGTCCTGAAAAGACTGAGCAGTAGGTGGGGGCCAGAGCCCAAGCCCAGCCCCCAAGGGAAACCAGCAGCAGTTGCCATATAGCCCGGCTCATAAGTGCCCTGCTCCTGTCAAGTCCTGTACCTCTAAAGCCCCATTCCGCCCCCATCGGGCCACTTGCTGTCCGGGCCCACCTTGTTTGCCTTGGTATGAAGAGCTGCCCCCAGAACCTCCGCCGTAACCCCCATGTGAGCCTGTGTTGTAGGATGACCCACTGGAGCCATAGCTGTTCCCGCCACTGCGGCCTCCACTACCACTGTAGTCTGAGGGAAAGAAAATCAATGTGATTAGGGCCTGGGGCCAAGGATGGCTCAGATAGGTGAGGAGCCTTGGTGGCAAGCCCTGTCACAGTCACCCTGCCCTGGCTCATGCCTGTCACCCACTCTCAAGTCCATCTGTCTCGCCTTTCCACTGCCTCTTCTCCCCTAGAACACAATGCTTTTTATCTGCTCCCCACCCCCAAAGCTTGCTTAATCCCCAATCCTTCTGATGGCTGCTGCTCTGTCATGAGGACAAACTCACACCTACTCACAGCGCTGGGCAGCAGCAGTGCACACGAGGTCCGGGGCCAGCGCATAAGGCTTGCTCACCGAGGAGCTAGATGCAACACAGCCTTGAGAAATCCCAGAAGGCAGCCTTGCAACTTCCACTCTGGCACCTAGCGTGGAGGCAGAGGCCTCATCTATACCACAAATGGAGGCAGGGCAGGTACCTATGGCCCAGTGATGCTTCCAGGTTTCGCCCTAGACTCACTGTCCCAGAATACCTCACAGTTCCTGGCTAGAGCTGGGCTTTTGGCCATCCCCAACCAGGAAGAGGACACTGGAAGCCAACTCACTGAATTTGCTGTCGTAGCTGTAGTCGGAGCCCCCACCACCACCAGGGGAGTTGTAGGAGTTAGAGTAGGAGTAGCTGCCCTGCCCATGGCCGTAGCCTTTCTGCTTGCCCTGCGGCGTGCCGTAGCTGCTGTACTGGCTCTGGTTGTAGGGTTGCTGCTGGCCCTGGTGGGACTGGTAGCCCGAGCTGTAGGAGGATTTCTGCTGGCCCCCATGCAGCGGCTTCTTCCCAGCATGTTTCGGGGGCACTGGTGAGTTGTAGCTGTCTCCTTGGTAGTAGGAGCTGTAGCTGGACGAGCCACCACCGCCCCCGCTGCCTCCACCACCGGCATTCCCAGAATGCCCTCCATTGCTGTAGAACTGACCTAAACAGGGAAGCAGCACATCAGGTGGAGGGTCCCGGGGTGAGGGTTGGAAGGGGAGAAGCAACAGTCATGGGCTCTGAAGGCTGGCCCATAGCTTACTGCTCAGAGCAGCGAGGAACAGATTGGAGCACAAGGCTCTGCTGGTCGAGGCAGCCTGGCTTAAGCCAGCCCAGCCTTCAGCTCCACTCACCCTCAGCTGATGACAAGGGGTCTTTGCCAAGCAGCAGCACGACAGCAGCTTTGCAGATGTCAACATTACAATGAGATGGGCTCCGAGCGTGGATGACATTCAGGACTAGCTGACGGCTACCCAGATGTCCCCAACGGTGACAGGAAAAGCAAAGCACCCAGAAGCAGTGAGCCACCCCCTTTTCCCTCCGTGCAGGAAATGAGCTCAACAGGCGAAAGCCTTGTGGACCCCAGGAGATGCCTTGCCATGAGGTCCCTAAAACCAACATGGTTCTTCAAAGACCAAGTGCTCTTAAGATAGTGACTAGAGACTCAAGACACTTCCTCAGTGTGAAACACAACTGAGGGCATAGAGTGAATCCCTAGCCTCCTGAGAAGGCAACACAAGCTGAGGCTGAGGTTAAATATCTGAATGGTGCCTCAGCAGCAGGACTGATGAGCTAGCACTGTGCTGCTATAGTCTCCAGGCCCCACATCTGGTCACTGGCTTTATTAACAAGCTCCCTACTGGAGACTTGGGTTGAATGACAGGGCAAGGCAGGGCTCGGCCAGGCCAAGGCATTAATTACTTCAGCCGCACTGCAGAAGGGAGTTCCCACCTCCAGGCTTGGGGGAAGCCAGAACATTTCTCAGTGCTCAACAGGGGCCTTGAAGCTCCCAAAAGCCTGGATTCCCAGAGTAAGTGGCCTCAGCATGCAGACCTTTAGTCCAGTGAACCCCATCAGGTCCCAGACAGGCAGTATGGAGAAGGGACACTCCCACAATGCCTGTCCTTCCTTCCTTATACCCACTGGTGAATATACACCCCACCCCATGCTAATGCTCGCTCCCCCAGCTACTGGCACAAGCATGGGGAGAGGCAATATCCCTGTGCAAGCCTTTCTTTACTCCAACAGATCTATCCCACCGCCCCCCACAAAGCCACAACCCTGCGGAGGAGGAAGTGTCCCACAACGCAAGAAAGCAAACACATGGAGGCTCAGTGAGGATACTGGGAGGCCCAGGGTTCCAGACCCACCCCCAACCCCAGCACCTCCTCCAGGCCCCTGCCTTGGCTTCCCCAGGGTCCTATGCTGAGCGACTGAGCTGCCTGCCTGAAGCCGGGCATGAATGAAGACGCCAGTACGGAGGGCTCATGACTTAAACGTGTATTCATTTAAAAAATAATAATAGTAATAAGGAAGGGCAGGTTTTCAACGTCATTCAGAACTATTTCCTGGTATAAAAAGACATTATTCGCAAACAATAACTTTCTAAAAAATAAAATAAAAATAAAATACATCATGCAAAGTCTTAGAAGGTTTCACTGACTTTTCAAACCTTGGGGAACAAATCACGTGGTAACCATTTTGGCCACATTTTACCTGAATAACGTCAAATCTTGCAAGTCAAAGTGGGGGCAGCTCTGCATCAAAGATTACTGAGCAGAAGCCTATCACAGTATCACAAGGATCCCCCCCCAGAAAGAAGAGGCCTTGAACTTCACACACACAGGAAGACATTTCTATGTTCCTGGCAGTGTAGTCCATGGTGGGGCCAAAGCCAGCTCTTTGTTAGGAAAAAAAAAATCCGGGGATGTGTGGACCTCTTCTATCTCAGTTTTATGAAGGCCCATAGTGAAATAGAAAAACCCAAACCCAATCCCGGAGTCCATGCATCGATAGCTGTGATCAGGACTTGCAAAATTTCACGTTATTCTCTCCTTTCAAGCCTGTCTCATTTCTCACACAGGTAACGGAAGCGCAGTTTTGATGCCTTTGCAAGTTCACTCTCTTAACTAAAGCAGTCACAGAAGCCCCTCAACCCAAGGGCCCACCAGAGCCTTACAAAAGGTGGGAGGCCCTGCTCTATGCAGTGTACAAGTCCTGGCCATCCCAGAATTTACATGTGCCTTAAGAAGGCAAGAAAAGTCAGCTGTTCTGGATTCAGATGTGCTAAAACAGTTTTCATCACTGCCAAAGGCATCAACCAGATGTGAAAATTTGTGAAAAGGTTAAAAATGCATACAAAACCTGCTGTAAATTAAGACAAAGGTAGATTAAAACGTGCCATTATCTGTCTTTTTAAATAAAGTAGTGCTTTCCATAAAAATTAATGATGGACTTTTGCCTTGATGCTGAACAACGCTGGCTCTAGAGTTCTGTGCGAGGCTGCACAAAAAAAAGAAAGAAAAAAGAAAAAAGAAAAAAAAGGAAAGGAAGAAAGAAAGAAAAGAGAGAAAGAAAAAGGAATAGAAAGAAAGGAAAATCTGAGAAATAGGTTTTTCCACTTAGTGTGAACTTTGAAATGACCAAGTTCAAAGGCAAATTCATGATAGAAACTGCCATTGTCTTAAGTCTGCAGGCTAACAGTTTCAGACAAGCTGCGGTGGAAAGCCACGGTTGAGAACCCCAGTGAAGCACAGGGACACAGCACGGACACTTTGGGTTTTGGAGTTGGAGGAAATTGGAGTAAAAAGTTGATTTTGTGTCAATACTTTTAGACGCTCTAGGAAGCCCCAAAATCATGATAGCCGTAGCAGTCTGTGAAAAAGTCACCTACAAAAGGGGGAGACAGAGCAGAGAGAAGAAATTAGAATTCTTTTGAAAAAGGGCACAGAGCGCCACATTTGAAATTCAGGTTTTAGATTTCTCTGCTCGTGTGACCCCCCAATGAAGGCTCCTTCTCAAGACAAAGAGCGGTGCACGGGCAGGAAGGCGCATTCTCAAAGACCAGTGCTTAAAGCAGAGAAATTTAAAAAGCCGACTTCAAAGGAACTTAGGTAGTACACAAGGGTGTGTTAGCATTAAAATAGTCAAGGACACACTTTGGGGACAGGGACTTGAGGACCATCTAACCTAATCACCGCAAAAAGGTACGGCTGGTGGCCCTGAGCCTCAGAGATGCTGAGGCCAGCACCCTACCCTGACTCAGACCCAGACTATGCTGCTGCAGCTTCCCAAGTGCAGACAGAGAGAACACACACTTACTGTAGCCTGCTGTGGCCGAGTTGCTGCCGTACCCATAGCTTCCATATCCAGCGCCTACAAGAGAGCAGACAGGTTCCAGGGTAGGTATGCACCCATCCTGCACCTTCCTTCCAAAGAAAGGTACGGTCATCCCTGGAGTACGTCACTGGTGACAAGAAGGAGGAGACCCTCACCAGCATTCATGTAGCCTCCTCCATGGTTGGCGCCACCAAATCCTCGCCCTCGTCCTCGCCCACGCATGTTCCCTCCTCGACCCCGGCCTCGAAGGTTGGGAGGTGGGGGCACCTCATTATGCATGGGGCCTCCCATGCCAAAGCCAGGATTGTGTGGCTGAAAGAGAGTACACAGGAGTGGGTTTCATTTCACCCTCACATCAACTAAAATTCCTACCCAAGGCCAGGGGTCAGTTGAAACCTCACCTTGGCAGCAAATTTGGGTCCACCTCGGACAGGCACAGGGGCTCTTTTCTTTTTGTTGGCGTCAAGGGCAAGGGGGGCATCAGGAAAAAGCTTTTCTAATGCAGCAAGAGCAGCATAAGCCTTTGCCACCTTTTTGTTGGAACCAGCACCTTGAAACTTCTGTCCATCCACTTCAACCTGTGGGAAACACACTGTGTGGGGACTGAGCTAACCCAGCATTTCCTCTAGTGTGAGGACAGCCTAGCTAAAAGCCTTCCTGCAGCCGGGCGTTATTGGACACGCCTTTAATCCCAGCACTTGGGAGGTTGAGGCAGGTGGATCTCTGTGAGTTTGAGGCCAGCCTGGTCTACAGAGCGAGTTCCAGGACAGCCTCCAAAGCTACAGAGAAACCCTGTCTCGAAGACAAAAAAAAAAAAAAAAAAAAAAAAAGCCTTCCTGCAGAGGCCCAGGCTCTCTCAGACCCTTCCTTCCCAGGAAGCTCAGGGTTACCTCTAGCTGCCTGAATACTCACTACTCACCTCCATAACAAATCGTTTGTCGTGGCTGCCTCCAGTCTCAGAAATGAGCTCATATTTGAGGCCACGCCTCTTCTCATTAAGCTCCATAACTGGGTTCTTGCCGTGCTTAGTCAATATCGGCCCCTGCTGCTTGACGTCCTCAGGGAAAGCACAAAGAAAACCCACTAAATTAGACTTGGGCACCCCACCACCCAGAAGCCAAACAGCCACTGAGCCAAGCCCTCTCACCTGAGCCCCTAACTGGATCTGGACCAGCCTATGTGTATACCAGCTGACATGTCTCAGTGATACAATCAACTCTACCACACGCTTCTGACTCCCTGGGTACAGGTTCTGGGCTCTACAACTCCTACAGCTCCCTTTGCAGGTGACTAGCTATAAGATCTGGCAGATGCATCCAACCTTTTGACAATGCAAAGCATTACTATATACCAAGCTCATACAGGGACCGGCAAGATGGCTCAATGGGTAAAGACACTTGCCACTAAGCCTAATGGTCCCAATTCAGTCTCTAGAATTCATACAGTAAAAATAGACTTCTAGAAGTCATACTGTGACCACTAAGTATGTGCTGTGGATGCTTATGCCCTCAAGTGTGTACAGAACACAATAATGAATGTAATAAAATTAAATAATAGTAATAATAAAATTCAATTAGGCCAGGCATTGGTGGTGCATGCCTTTAATCCCAGCACTCAGGAGGCAGAGGCAGGCGGATCTCTGTGAGTTCGAGACCAGCCTGGTCTACAGAGTGAGTTCCAAGGCAGACTCCAAAGCTATACAGAAAAACCCCATCTCAAAAAACCAAATAAACAAATAAATGGCTCAGTGGTTAAAAGCAATGGCGGCTCTCTCAAGACATGGATTCAGCTCCCAGCATCCACACGGTGGCTCACAACCTTTTGGTTTTTTTGTAGGGTTTTTTGTTTGTTTCTTTGTAGACAGAGTTTCTCTGTGTAACAACTTTGGTTGTCCTGGGACTTGCTCTGTAGACTAGGCTGACCTTGAACTCACAGAGATCCATTTGCCTCTACCTCCTGAGTGTGCTGGGATTAAAGCTTGCACCACCATCAATCACCTGGCCTTACAACCTTTTTTAACTCACTCCAAGGGATTGAGGGCACTGCATACACGTGTTGCAGAGAAAAGATACACATACATAAGAGATAAAATGAGGGGGGACAATGTCAAGCTTCAGAACCATGTATCCCAGTTATTAAAAAAACAAACAAACAAACAAACAAACAAAACCTGCTAAGCAATCTCTGAATGTCTAAAGTGATTTCAGGATTTCATGGTGGGCCGCAAGTTAGGCATGCCCGGCTCTGCTCTGCATGTAAAGACTAGTGACTACCTGCTCTGCCCCGGCAATATCACCCAACATGAATGGAGTGCCATTCCCAGCACCCACCACAGGCTCACCTCAGTAGTGGCATCTGAAGGGAAGACAGAACTAGGGTTGGAGACAGCTTCTACCACAGGGGGTGGGGCCACTACTGCTGGCTTCCCGTCTGACTCTTCAGCTGAGTCCTCCCCCTTGCTGGAGTCACGGCCTTCTGCACCTGTTGGCAAGCCCATGTCCTGTAACACCTGTAGAGCAGACAGACCCAGGGATCAGGTGACATAAGGCTTTCAAGGAACCACTTACAAAGATACTTTACACACTCTACAGAGCTTCCTAATGATAACTTTCAGCACAATCTTAGCTACCTGCAAAGGTTTTTGGCCCCTTTCAGTTTTGCAGGTTGCCCCTGAAGGTGTGACATGTGACTTGTCAAAGGATATAAAAAAAATTCTAACCACTTCTGAGATGCACACTGTAAGCCTGCAAGCTTAGGCCAACATGGTAAGTGCATTTTCTCTTTTGGAAAGAATATCTACCTGCACTTACCTTTACAGCCACATGTAGTTTGGCGGTCTTTTTAGATGGCCCTGAGGCCTCGAAGGTACTGCCATCTACCTCCACAGCCATGGTGAAGATGGGGGCATGAACAGGACCTGTCTGGGAGATCAGCTTGTACTGCAGCCCTGGCTTCAGCTGGTTTAGCCTCATCAGGGCATTCATAGCTTGGGGAGGCTCTGCTTTCTCCTCTAAGAAGACAACAAGGCAAAATAGGATGAAACTTCTAGAGACCAGAAAAGCCAAAGCCCGGAGACAACCATTACATGACTCTGTGGCACGTAACCTGGCCTGGGCCTCTCCTACAGCCCATGGAGGCACAACTTACCATGGAACCTGCACACTGTTCCTGTGCCAGTTACTACTTTTCGGGGAAGTGAGGTGATGAGAAGGCTCTCTCTTACCCTGTACCTCAGTCTATATTTGGAAGCAATTCTCTCACCGCAGCCTTGTGGATTCTGGGATTACAGATGTGAGCCACCAGATGCAGACATCAGGCTCTTACAGTGGTTGAATATCAAGGGCAGTCTAGTCTACATAGCCAGTTCAAGGACAACTAGAGATACACAGCAATAACAGAAAATGTCTCAAAAAATAAAAAATAGAAAATAAATCAAGGGCAGGGAAGATGGCTAAGGGGCCTACTGTGAACACGTGCGCGTGATAGTTCAGACCCAAGAACCTATATAAAGAGACTACTGTAGATCTTGCATAAAACAAGGGGGAAGGCAAGGACAGACCCAAGGAGTTTTTTTTTTTTTTTGTTTTTTTTTTTTTTTGCTTTTTTGAGACAGGGTTTCTCTGTATTGTTTTGGAGGCTGTCCTGGAGCCCGCTCTGTAGGCCAGCTGGCCTCCAACTCACAGAGATCCTCCTGCCTCTGTCTCAAGTGCTGGGATTAAAGGCGTGCGCCACCACTGCCAGGCTCCAAGGTGCCGTTTTAGCACCCATGTGGAAACACCACGGCACATGCACACCCACACAAATTCTTCTTAAACATTTACAGATTTACACGGCAGAAACCAGACACTCAGGAGCAATCACCCACTGGCTCTCGATCTCACCGCCGACTTATCAAAGCTGCGGGTCCCCGGAGGGGCGCGCGGACAGGGCACGAGCAGTCAGCAAGAACCCAGCAGGTCCAGCATCTGCTCCGGGGGACGGGGAGGGCAGGATGTGGTCGCTCTTCCCTCAAACATCCTCCAGTAACCTAAATAACAGCGTCTACCTCCCCCACCTCCTCCCAGATCGCCCCTGGGATTCGGGGACCCGGGAGCGGTCGAGGGGAGCAAGAATGTCCCAGCGGGGGTGGCGGGACCGGAGAGCCCCAGGCCGCTGGCTGAGGGACTCAGCCGAGGGAAACGGGCGCGGGGCCGGGGGGATGGGCGTGGGCTCGGCCCCTTGCTCTGCCCCGCCGCGGGTGGCTGGCCCGCCCGGACCAAAAAAAAAAAAATTTACAGATTTAAAAATTAAGGCTAAAATATGGCCCAAGAAAAACAAAACAGTACACTCATCACTTCCAGATACACAGTAACCAGGCCAGAGGAAAGGGGGTACCAGCCAGGGCACATTCCTACCTTTCTTTTGGATCTTTTTTTTCTTTTTGCTGGGAGACTTCTCCTCCCCATCCTCTTCCATGGGGCGTTTCATGGGTGTGATGGCGTACGTGGTGCTGGGGGGGATTTGAACTGAAAGGAGTAGGAGCAGCTGAGACATGCAAGCAGTGCTCGAGAGAGTCCTGCCCTCTGCCCACGTGTCCTTACCAGTGTAGTCCACTGGGTTCTCGCTCTTTGGTTTCTTGGGCATTTTGGAAGGCAGGGGGTCCATTCCTAGGACTTTATGGAGTTGGCCGAACGCAGCGAGCCGCAGAGCATGCTAGAGAAGGGGAAGAGGAGTCTGACGTGGCTGCCTCCTGCCACCTGACCGTCCACATGTGTGCTCTCTAATTCCTTCTGCAATTCGGGAGCTAGGGGTGCTGCTAATAGTCTCCCCTAGGTCAGCAAGGGGTCCCCTGACAGCCAGGGCAGGGCCTGACAGCTCTGGTCCAGCCTTGCTGTGGGGGAGTGCCAGCCTGTGACCACCCCCCTCAAGATGTGTACAGGAGACCCCAACCTGGGGGCTGGTTCCCACATGGAGCCAGGTGGTAGACCTGCAGGGGAGAACCCCAGAACAGCTCTCACAGCAAAGCTGTGGCCCACGGCCCTTGCTGTGCCAACATGGCAGTCTGAGCAGGGTGACAGGCAGACAAACAATCACATGTGGTCCCAGAACAAACAAGCCCAGATTGGGGCTCCCTGTATCAGACATGATGCCTTTGCCTTGGTCCCCAACCTGAGCCTATGATCCAGGGGCTGCCCTTCAAATGCCCAGTAATGGAACTGGGAGCCAGTGAGTGCAGACTGGGTAAGGGCTCATGTTGGCAATGGCGACGACTATACCTGCGCACTCTGTGTGATATCTTCCCGTTGCTGTCTGTCTAGATGCCCAATAGCATCAGTGGCTTCTTTTTCACAAGGGTCATAAATGCCAGAACCATCTGAAGGCAGGAAACAAGGAAGATATGCAGAGGATTATCCCTTGTCGTCTCATAAGAGTTGTTGGCTGAGGGAACCAGGTGTATTACCCCCCCGCACCCCATCCACACCCAGCTCTGGAAAACACACCGAGCTTGGTGACCCACTCAGCATCCAGACCTTGACAGAAATAAATCATGTGTCTCAGAGCAAGAAAAGTCATGTGGAGTGGGTCACCACTGGCTTACGGGTCCGCCCTGATTCATGGCTTCGGACCCAGCACAGGGCTGGATATGATGGTGCAAGAGGGTAGTCACGTGCTTTGGCCCTAGCCGGGGGGAACATGGAGCTGCTGTATCCCTAACCCAGGCAGTGGACCAGTGAGGCAGTGGCTGTTAGGACTTCATCCCTGTCCTTTCCCTGTCCCTTGAAAAAATCACAAGGCCCCAACCTGGCATTACGATGCCGGATGCCAGGCACTCGAGCACTCTTCGAAGGGCTTCGCCAGCACCCATCGGCCTATTGGCAGTGCCGATGGACTTCTCACATAGCAGCTCCAGAGGCTAAAAGGTAAGAGGAACAATGAGCTTTCAGCTGCAGAAGGAGACACCCCAGGAAGCCCTATCACTGAGTTAGAGGGGTTAGGGGTCCTGAGACTCAAGTCAGCCAGTGAGGCCAAAGTCCAACATCAGACATCTAGGCAAGGGGTTAGCAGATTTTCATAAAGGCAGGATGGGCCTAGGGACAACACTGAAGACATAAGTGGGTAATTAGGCTTAAACTGTAACCACTCAAAAGGATGTTCTTAATAATGGGCTGTTAAAAAAAGGCAGTTTAAAAAATAAAATAAATTTTTAAAAAATACCAAAAGAAGAATATAGGCAGAACAGGCCTAAGGCCCTTTGATAGCAAGCTGTTCAAGATCACCGGTACACCTATCCTTTCTGAACTACTGCCCCCACCCCCACATACACAAAGAAGGCTTAGTCTTGCTTCCACCCCAACCCAGGGTCTGATGGATCACAATAGCCACCCCAAGTCAACAACCTCGAAGCTATCTATATGAAAGCCATGTTCTGAAAGAGCCTGCCTGGACAAACACTACCCCCAAGGTGTCTTACCCATCCTCTGAGGGGACCCCAGGAGGGCACTCGGGTACACAAGTCCCTTAGGACACGAATGACAATGACACAAGACTTCAGCCCATTGGCTCTGGCCTAGAGGAAGAAAGCATGTAGGCACTTCATACTCAGGGCATCACACAAGACGGCAGGCAAACATGAACAATGAGTTTCATGGTGCTGCTTTGCCAAGGGTAAATGGTTGCAGGGGTGCACAGCCACCAAGTGTGTGTGGCCAGCACTGAGCTCCCCACCTGCGTGGAAGCCTGTTTGTTACTCTTACTGCAAAGCAGCCCACTGCTCAGCACCAGCCTCCTCAGGGTTGTCAAGTCAAATTGATTTAGGCGCCTCCTTTAGCAACCGCACGCCGCAGGTGCTAATGAGATCAGCACAGCTACAGTCAATGTTATGGACACTTTATGGTCAAAGTTAGCCATGTTGTAAAACTTAGGCATTCTCTACCAAAAGACAAAGAGAAGAACAAAATGCAAACCTGGAACCACTTGGCGTGTCGGAGGGACGCCAAGGCAGCAAGGCATTTCTGCCTGTCCAGAACGTCCGGGGGGTCGTTGACTGATAGCGTTTCTATTTATGGATGGAATAAGAAGACAAGGCACAGTTTGACCAAGGGGTTCTGTCAGGTGCAAAGGGGATGTGGCAGCTTCCTAAAGGGCAGCTGGGTCTCCCACAATCTCAATTTGTGTCCACCCTGGACGGGGAAGGGAGAGGCTAAAGTGCCACCAGCTCTGCTCTGAGAGGAAGTCAAAAAAAAAAAAAAAAAAAAACTGGGAGGCCCTCTCCAAAATTTTAAACCACAGAAACAAAAACCAAAATCAAAAAAAGAAAAGTTACTCTAAAAGGCACAGTCAGTGGGGAAGGGAAAAGATAGGCTGATCCCATCTTCTAATAGCCCCTTCCCTTGCTTCTCCCCCATAAGTTAGCTAGGCTAGAATTTACAATAGGAAAAACAAAAAACAAAACAGACCAAAAAAAAAAAAAAAAAAAAAAAAGGTGGGGGGAGTGGAAATGAACTCCCTTCACTGCTTCTCACAAACAGGCATCCACCTGTAGCACAGGGGACCACCTCCGCCCACCAGGTGGTTCTGCCCTAGCCCCAGGCCTTGACAGAGAGAGTCCTGTTGGTCAAAGGTCCAGCGTCCCTGAGTGGATAAGCTAAGAGGGCTTTGGTCATTGGCATCAGATACATGTGCCAAAGAGAAGTCAGCAAGTCGGCCTGCACCTCGGTACAGCTAGGCTATCGTTTGACTCTGCCAGCTATCAGGGCTTTGGATAAGGCCCGACAGTAGGCCCAGGAGGGCTGCAGGGAGACCATGAATTGTGCAATCAAGTATTAGCTTAGCATCTGAAGTGCCAAGACGAGGCTGGAAGACAGCACAATGGTTTAAAACCTTATCCAAAACTCTGCTGCAGCTCCTGGCCTCTCTAAAGCTCCAAGAGTGCCATAGGCAGAGGCCAAATGAAAACACCAGGCTGTGCCGCAGGACCAGTCGATCACTACTCCTACGTGCCGTTCATATAGAAGCCATCTGGTTGCTGCTAACCACTGGAAGATTCCTGGGGACACACTTTTTTTCAAAGAGGGAAACAAGTTTAACAAGGAGGTTCAAGACCATTCGAGGAGTATGAGAAACAAAATGGTACACTCCCTATGCAGTGCTACTCACTTTTAGTGCCACTGTTGGGTCAAACTCCCAAGAACACACGGCATTGGAAGACATGAATTCAGAGTAAAGGCAGTCAGAGTACACTGACACTCTCTAATCAAAGCATTCTAAAACTGAATAGCACATTTGAGCAAGAGGGAACACCAAGTCTGCAATGTTCTGCTGGCCTCTCTCGGCCTCCCTACCTCCGGCTAACACTTTCTCCATTTCTTCTCGGACAACAGGGGAGGTCAGGTGGATGGTCAAGGACAAGGGGGGCTCTTTTGTGTTTTTTATCACAATCGCAGCATCATCCACAGACTGGAGTATTTCGTACTTGTCTTCTGTTACAGTCTGAAGGAGGAAAAGAAGGCAGCTTTCAAAACATTTTCTCTGTAAGGCAATCAACAATTCCGACAAACTCCATTGGATCTTAGGCTATGAATACTAGTAGAGCCTCAAACCCTATAACCAGAGAAGCTGTTTCCACCAGGAATGTTAAAATCTAAAGGGAAGAGTCAGCTGTGGTGGCTCATACCTACAATCCCAGCAGTTAAAGAGACTAAGCCAGGATAATGAGTTCAAAGCTGACATCAGCCACAGAACAAGACTATCTCAACGGCAGGGGTGAAAGGAGCTAGTGAGTACAAAAGCAGCCATTCCAGTGACTTGGGAGAACTGAAGACAGAGTATCACTTCAGCCCAGGAGTTTACAGCAAGCCTGAGCAGTATAAAGACACTACCAACAATGCCAATTTAGAAAGAAAAGGAAGGAAAAAAACCAAAGAACCCCAAATGCAATTCAAGCATGAAATCCCAGCACCCTGAAGACAAAAGCAAGAAGACACTGCTGTTTGAGGTCAACCTGATCTACAAAGCAAGCTCAAGGCAAGCCACAAATACACAGTGAAATCTAGTGTAAAAAATAAATAAATGCAAAAGCTAGCCAACCAGGGAGGTAATGACTATAACCCTAGCACTCAGGATGCTAAACTCAAGGCCAGTCTGAGATACAAGGGAAAGCCTATCTGGAGGAAAAAAAGTCTTTTTTCTCATTTTTAAAAAAAGATTTGCCGGGCGTTGGTGGCGCACGCCTTTAATCCCAGCACTCGAGAGGCAGAGGCAGGCGGATCTCTGTGAGTTCCAGGACAGCCTCCAAAGCCACAGAGAAACCCCCGTCTCGAAAAAAACCAAAAAAAAAAAAAAAAAAAAAAAAAAAGATGTATTTACTTTTTTATTATGTTTATACTGTTCTGCCTGCATGTGTGCCTGCAGATCAGAAGAGGGCACCAGATCTCATTACAGATGGTTGTGAGCCACCATGTGGTTGCTGGGAATTGAACTCAGGACCTCTGGAAGAGCATAATCACTCTTAACCACTGAGCCATCTCTCCAGCCCCCTCTTTCCCATTTTTTGAGACAGGCTCTTCTTGCCCAGGGGCTTTCCTGCCTTAGACTCAGTGTTGGCTCAAGTCTCAGGCTTCCAATTTCTAACATGGACCTAACATGAGCATACTTCAAGGCTGCAGAACAAAGCCCATGTCACTGAGACACTGTATGGGAAGCCTGTGCCCATGACAGAGGGGAGTCCTCACGCTGGGAGAAGCCATCAGCAGACAACATGGGAGAGAAGCACGTGCACTGCCCAGTCTACAGCTAATGACAGACACGGGAGCACTTGCAACCCCCCAGAGCAGGTCTACAAGATACTCAACAGTCCACCCTCAACTACATAAGCTAGTTTATTTTAACTGGAAAAAACTCCAGCTTCTTAAACTATTTTTGTTAAAAGAAGTAAAGTGGGGTCTTTAACCCCAGCACTCAGGAGGCAGGGACAGGAGGATCTCTATAACATAGTTCCAAGCCAGCCTGGTCTATAGAGCTTTCCAGAGCAGCCAGGGCTATGCAGAAAAACGCTGTCTCAAAAAAGGAAAGTGTGGGGGCTGGAGAGATGGGCTCAGAGGTTAATAGCACTGGCTGCTCTTCCAGAGGTCCTGAGTTCAATTCCCAGCAACCACATGGTGGCTCACAACCATTTACAATTCAATCTGGTGCCCTCTTCTGGTATGTAGGCAGAACACTGTATATGTAATAAATAAATAAATCTTAAAAAAAAAAAAAAGGGTAGATCGTTGAATCTACTTTAAAAAACAAAAAAAGGAAAGTGTGTATGTTGTAGGGAGGACATGTATGTGCCCTGGAAATTGACATGCAGATTTCTTGACCACACTAATTCTTGCTGAGAGGTGGCCATCCTGTGTCATACAGCCTGTTCAAAGCATCCCTGGCAACTACTCACTTCTCCCTATCTCCAGATGGCCACAAGTTCCCAGGGAAGGTAAATGTCAGCTATCAAGCAAGAACCATGGACATAATGAGCATGCCTTGTATACACACTAGGGATGGACTTGGGAAGATTCACTAAACACAGCTGTATACACAGGTTGTGAGGCAGCCACCATGTCCATTACTACCCTTAGAGAACACAAAGCTCTTTCTTCCACATAAAAGGGGATAATAATAATTATGAAATCAATCACAGTCATCTCAAGTTTCTAACACTCTGTACTTGATCTCCCAGATCTCCATTCACATCACTCTCCTGCGCATGTACCCAAAAGCCTTATACTATGGAATGTTTAGAGACATACTAAGGTATTGCTCCTTGTAAACCAACTTTGAATTTCAGTATGCTTAGCTTTTAAGTTAAATCTAGGAGAGCTTTTCTGGAAAGTAAAGAAGCTTTGCTGTCTCTGGTTGCCCCCTCTGAGGATGCTGGGATCACCTTTCACCCCTATTACTCAGAAGCATGAGATTAGCCACAACTGGCCAAGGAGGCCCACTCCTTATAAGCCTAGCATTCTAGAGGCAGGAAGACAAAGACATCAAGATCAGCCTGGGCTATAAGAGACTCTTTCTCAAAAGTCAGGGAAGGGAGGGTGGGTCAAAGTGGACAGCCTCTCAAAGAAAGTGGAGGAGATACGCATATATGAATGACCTGGGGTCTGGCTCAGTAAATGTTCAATAAGTATCAAAGATCACTACGTATGCACTATTTTATTAAAAGAAAAGACTGAGGTATTATTTTAGTTTGTTTTTTTGAGTCAGGGTCTTACTCTGTAGTCCAGGCTGGCTACAGACTATAATAGCATAATCTTCCTGACTCGGCCTCCTAAATGCTGGGATTACAGGTATAAGCCACCAAGAGCACATTGTTTTTCTCTTTCTTTCCTTGAACTCTACCACTGAGCTCCAGCTGCAGCCAGATGAGTGGACTTTTAAGTATATCCAGGTCTGACCCATGAAGAGTTAATACCTTTCCTTCCTTCCATACAGCCTACACATGATATTCTAGCCCAATGGTCCAGGCTTCACACATGAGGGCACAGGTTTTGCTAACTAGCAGACTGGGGACCAACTATAAACAGCGGATTATTTCCCATGGACACACAATGGCTCTGTGGTGACCTGCTTGTTCTCAAGGTGAACACAGGACAGGTACAAGAGGTGCTCACTGGCACATTGCACAGATAGGCCTTCCCTTCCTCTGACCATATTCTCCACAAGCACTAGGATCCCCTCTGGCATGGTGGTGGTGGTGGTGGTGACTCACAGTGAGCTGAATGGCCAGGTTGTCAGCCACTTTGTCCAGAAGGGTGGTTGTGGGCTTCTCCTTACAGAGCAGAACCAGCTCCAGATCCAAGTCCCCCTTGAGCAGAAGACCCTTGGCTACCAGGCCGACCCGCATCACGCCCCTCAGGGTCCTAGTCATGTGTTCCGCCTTCTGTTCCCTGAGAGACAGACAAAAGCCAGGCTCAATGGGAAGCCAGCCTAGCCAGAAACCAGAGAGACTGGCACTTCTTAGAAGAGATTCTAACTTAGATGTGCCACACAGTGACACAGGCCTGTAATCCCAGCACTCAGGAGGCTGAGGCAGAAGGACTTCTGTGATTCTGATGCTATCTTGGGCTACAAAATAGGTTGAAGGTCAGCATGGGCTATCCCGTGAGATCCTGTCACAAAAAAACACTAAAAGAACTAGGCAAGGGAGAGGCAGGAGGCATCAAGAATTCAAGGGCAGGCTTTGATACACAGTGAGGTAGCAAGTCTGTGCTACATAAGCTGCCTGAAAAGGCCTGAGCCTTCCCACACACACCCACACAGGCACGCACAAACACACTGGGGGAGGGAGGACCTGAGACTCACCCAGCCCCTTCTTTGCTCTCATCATCTGGGGGCGTGTCCATATTTTCTGCCTCTGTGAGCTCGCTGCTGCCCTTCTCCTGCTCATCAATCCAGTCAGAGACAGCCTTGAGGGCCCGCTCAGTGTGAGATACCATATTCTGCACGGCCTCCAGCTCCTCTTGCGTTGGGTACACTGAAGAATGCTTTGCCATCACATGGCGATCATCATTCACAAAAATTCTCATGGGACGCTGGAAATGTGAAAACTACGCTAAAAATGATGCAAGTACAGCCAGCAGCCCACCCCTCACCACTTAGTACCATTCCATCCTTCACAGAAGATAGACTAGGGGAATGTGGCCCAGGGCCTTAGGGGAGACTCTCCACAAGCAGCAGAAATGGGGCACCTTACGTATCGCTCACTATACTACAGTAGTCCCCCCTTATCCGCGGGGTACACATTCCAAGACCCCAGTGGATGCCTTAAGCCGCGGATAGCACCAAAATCGAAATACGGTCTGGGTTTAACCTCTACGCACATAGGTATGGTAGTTTAATTGGTCAGTCAGGCACAGGAAGGGCTTAGACAGGACGGAATGTGAATATGGTCTCTCTCCAAGTAGCTGATCATCCTACTCACCCTTCTTCTTCTTGTGATGAAGTGATGATGATACAATGCCTACGTGATGAGATGAAGTGAGGTGAATGACGCAGGCATCAGGACGGCGCACAATTTAAAACTTAGCAATTTTTTCTTTCTGGAAATTTCCACTTAATATTTTCAGACCGCGGTGGACCGCAGGTAACTGAATCCGCGGGAAGCAAGACCACGGCTAAGGGGAGACTACTGTATTCACATCGTGACACGTAATTACTTAGAGAATTCAAAATGACTAAGACAAAATGCTAACAGCATCAAATGTTTTGGGGACATGCTATGGACATCTTTGTATATAAGTGGAGAAATAGAGTCTATAAGCAAAGAAAAAACTGTCTTACCATTTTTCCTTTCTTTTTTTCTTGTAGTTTCTGGAAATCAGTCTTGGCTTATCTTTTCAAATTGTGACAGCTTTCCTTGGAGTTACCAATACTTCAACTATCTATAAGATCAGAAAACCTTTTTAGTTTTAAATATCCCAGAGACAGATGATCTCAGCAGCCATATACTAGGTAGCAAGGGTGAAGGTGGTAGCTCACAAGGAGCCTGCTCACAGCAGGACAAATCTGTCTTCCCAGGCAGCCAAGCCAAGGCACCAAACAACTCACTCCAATTTCCCTTCATATACAAACAGCAGGCTTCCAGAAGACCTATCTGAATGCAGCCACACACTGAAGAGCTTTCTGTTTCATTTCATCCTATATAGCATGCACGTGGGGGGAGGGTACAGCAGAGGGAGGTGTCAGGGTTTTATGCAACCCAGACTGGTCCCAAAGTGCAAATCCTTCTGCTTCATCTCCAAGCGCTAAGACTACAGGTGTGCACCATCAAGCCTAGCTTGACTTCTTTTGCAATTCTAGAAAGGGACTCATGGGCATATGAGCCACTACTGACTAGAGCCCTCAGTCCTAAGCAAGTTGTGGTACATGCACACAAGTCTTTATAGGCACACACGAAGGACAAAAGGTTTTAAGTGCCCTGCTCTATTATTATTCCCCACTTTATCCCCTTGTAATAGAGCCTCTCATCAAACCTAGAGCTATGTTGGCAACCAGAAAGCCCTTGGTATCCTCCTCTCTCTGCCCCACCCACAGCACTAGGGTTACAGTTTTCCTAAGGCTATATCCAGCTCTTTGTAAGGACACTGGAAGTCTAACTCAGATCTTCATGCTTTCCTACCCATTAGGTCACCTCCCCAATCCCATGGTTGGTTTTTCAAGGTTAAGATTTCCTGCAGCTCAGGCTGGCCTCAAATTTTGCTATACAGGAGAAGATGACCTTCAATTCCTGATTCTCCACTAGCCCTACCTTCCAAGTGCTAGATTACAGGCATCTGTCACAGAAATTAAGATTTTACTTAGTCTATAGTTCTGGATTCAACCACAGAGACCCATATGAGCTAAGCAAATGCTCATTTCACTAGCTGTATTCCAACACCAAAGCATGCTGGGCTTTATAAAGAGAGTTTGCTCAGCAGCTGGGCTCATGCTTTACACACTGCAGGCACTGGGTGCTATCCCCAGCGCTAAAAATGAAACATCAAAACATATAAATTGAGCATGGTGGCACACATAAAGTGATCCAGGCATGGTGTCTGGAGTTCAAGGCCAGAATGAGCTACATGACAACATTCTGGCAAAAAAAAAAAACAAAAACAAAAACAAAAAAAAACAAAGAAGGAGGGCTGGCAAGATGGCCACCAAGCCTGAGGACCTGAGTTTAAATCCTAGGTCCCACACAATGGAAGGACAGATCCCCAAGTTGTCCCCTGACCACATGTGTGCATAGCACATTCCTCCCCTGTGCAAGTAAACTTGATAAAAATTTTTGAGGTCTGGAGAGATGGCTCATCAGTTAAAAGCACTGCCTGTTTTTCCAAAGGTCCTGAGTTCTATTCCCAGCAACCACATGGTGGCTCACAACTGCGTATAGTGAGATCTGGTGCCCTCTTCTGGCCTGCAGACGTACATGCAAGCAGAACACTATACAAAATAAAGCAATCTAAGAAAAATTATTTTTTAAAAATCAGCCAGGTAATGGTAGCGTACACCTTTAATCCCAGCACACAGGAGGCAAAAGCAGGTGGATCTCTGCAAGTTTGGGGTCAACCTGATCTACAGAGTGAGTTCCAGGACAGCCACGATTGTTACACAAAGAAACACTGTCTTGGAAAATTTTCTTTTGAAAAAAAAAAAAAAAACAAAGTAAAACATAAGATTAATAAGTTACCAAAAAAATGTTGCAAGTAGAAACAGTCATCAAAGTATGGGTGCTATTCTTGTACAATCCTAGCACTTGATGAGGACAGAGGCAGGAGTTCTGTGAAATAAAGGCTAGACTGGGTCTACAGAGCAAATTCCAGGGCAGCCAGGGTTACACACACAAAGAAACCCTGACTCAAAAACAAAGGGGGGGCTGCTTGTTGGAAATGGTAGTACCCCCTGTATTCAGGAAGCAGAACAAGGGGTGAAAAAGTTGAGGCCAGCCTAGGCTACACAGCAAAACTCTACCTCAATAGACAGGGCAGGGATGGACTAGTGGTGAAGGCGCTTGCTAAGCATGAGCACCAGAGGTTGAGTCCCCAACAAAGTCTCTCATGTCAGCACTGTAGGGGTCAGAGCCGGAGGACAGCTGCAGCTTTCTGCTGACAGCCTAGCTCCAGATTCATTGAGGGAGACTAAAGTCTCCAGAGTGATACAGCAGGACGGACACACACCCACCAAACTATCAACTCTAGGTGCTTGAAGAAGAAAAAAAAGGTGGGAGCTCTGATCCATAAGGACATGACAGGGTCAGACAAAAGGTCCTAAAGAGCTTCTGTCACATGCAAAAAGCAAGGAGAGTGCTCAGCCTTGTTTCCAGCGGACCTGGATTGATGCAGACTCATAACCAGTCCAAGTGTTGAAGGTGAGTGACTGGAACACTATTCACTCACTTCAAGATTCCAGACGCATAAGAGAAGAGAGGGTAGAGACCGTTAACAGCTAAAGATGTGCCAGGAGAGCTGCTTTCATGAGCTGTAGCTAACTGCACAAAATCTAGACTATGTGGAGCCTGTCATCATTTTAGCATCGATGAAAAAGGAGCTTCTAAGGCCCCACCCACCCTTGCAGAAGAGCTCTTGGTAGTTAATAGTTAGTGAGGGAGACATTCATTGTCTTCAGAGCTGCAGCCATTGTTAAGTTGCCCATGCTCCAATATGGAACAACACCCACCACAACCATGTATACACACTTATACAAGCAACCCTAATTAAAGATATTGGGTTACAAAGCAACAACAACAAAAAAAAATCAACCTGGTGCAAGGGGGGACTTGTTGAAAGGAATTCAGCAGGAATATGACAGGGGGGTGAGAATAATCAAAATCTATTATATACAAGCACAGAACTTTTGGAAAAAAATATTTCTAAAAGGAAGAATCAGCAGGATGGCTTAGGGGGTAAGGGTACTCACAACCCATTACTCCCCCAAGAGGTCCTCTGTACCTCCTCAGGCATGTCACAGCATGTGCCAGCCCCCAAGCAATAAAAAAATTATAATTAAAAGACAAAGTAGAGCCGGGCGTTGGTGGCACATGCCTTTAATCCCAGCACTCGGGAGGCAGAGGCAGGCGGATCTCTGTGAGTTCGAGACCAGCCTGGTCTACCGAGCGAGTTCCAGGACAGCCTCCAAAGCCACAGGGAAACCCTGTCTCGAAAAACAAAACCAAACAAAAAACAAAAGAGACAAAGTAGAAACACCTGCACCAAGTAGATATATATACCCATGGACAGAACTTTGGAAGTGCTAAGACACCCAAATATGGCCGGGTGGTGGTGGTGCACGCCTTTAATCCCAGCACTCGGAGGCAGAGGTAGGCGGATCTCTGTGAGTTCGAGGCCGGGCTGGACCGATAGCCTCCAAAACAATACAGAGAAACCCTGTCTCGTAAAAACCAAACAAAAAACAAAAAACAAACAAACAAACAAAAAAAGACACCCAAATATGTAACACAAGTCTGCAGGGCAAAAGCAGCTACACACCAACTCTCTTAACAACACGCAAACTACAACCTACTCAACTTCTGTGCCCTACTAACAGCCCATCCACAGCACTCTGTGCTCCATCACACCCTCCAGCCACACTGTTATAACCAAGACTGCAGGAACATCTCTCAGAAGGTGCAAGCTGCAAGGACAAACTGCCAATACTGGCCAAACAGACATTAATTACCAAAGGGCTTCAGAACCGCCTACTAAACACTGTCAAGTTAGAAAGTTTAACACCACCGTTAAACTCTACAGAGCTGTAGAGGTGGCTACCAGGAAAGAGGAGAAAGGCTTCCTAGGAAAACAGTAGGGAAGAGGAGAGTGCAGGAGCATGGGATGCCTGGGCTGTAAATGCGGGAAAGGTCATAGTCCTGTGAGTTGGAAGCTGCCCGCCTGGCTTTCTATGGTGCTTTCTTCTTAACCTGCAGTACAGAGGGGCCACTGCACAACACCCCTGAAAACTAAGCAGATGAGCCTGCCTCAATGTGAAGCCCAAGTTCCCCTGACCCGACACTGGCAGCAGCCCCTCCTCCCAACAGTTACTGTCACCAGCTGATCCAGGTTCTTCCCGTGGCAACGAAGATACTGGAACTCAACTATGCATAGCTGTGTTGGAAAAGGATGCCTATACACACCTATAATTTCCGCACTTGGGAGGTAGAGGCAGGATCAGGATCAGGGTTCTGTTCAAGAAAGGCCTATGTTAAGTGAAAATGCATCTCAGAAACCAGTACTTGAGAGCTGGAGAGACACCTTTGTGGTTAAGCGCACTCACTGACTGCTCTTGTAGAGGACTGGAGTTCAAACCCCCAGCACCCATATGGAGCAGTTTACAGCATTTTGTAATTCCAGCTCCAGGGGCCCTTCATCAGACTCCACAGACGACTGTATTATTCTCATACTTATACACACACAGAGACCCCCCCCCCCAGATAGGGATTCTCTGTGTAACAGCCCTAGATGTCCTGGAATTAGTTCTGTAGACCAGGCCGGCCTTGAACTCACAGAGATCTGCCTGCCTCTGCCTCCCAAGTGCTGGGAGATCTTTTATTTGTTTGTTTATTTTGGTTTTTCAAGGCAAGGTTTCTCTGTATTGTTTTGGAGCCTATCCTGGAACTCACTCTATAGACCAGGCTGGTCCAAACTCACAGAGATCCACCTGCCTCTGCCTCCTGAGTGCTGGGATTAAAGGTGTGTGTCACCACCAACACCCGGCTGACTTTTTAATGTAATGCTTAGATGTGGTAACTAGGAAATAGATGGCTTGGCAGTTGGTGTTCTCAAAAAGATCCAAGTTAGCCAGGTATAACGGCACACCTTTAATATCAGCATGCAGGGGGCAGAAGCAGGGGGGATCTCTGAGTTTGAAGCCAGCTTGAACTACACAGCAGACAGCCAAGGCTATGTCTCAA